AAGCTTCATCTCCCTCTCCTCATCTCTTCCTGCTGGGTCCTCTACAGTCTGTGACTGTGTTTTCATTTCATTTATGGTGTCTTTCATTGTACACATATTTTTAATTTTTATGAACTCAAATCTGTGTATCTTTTCTTTTTTCATGGCTTCCAAGTTTTGCGGCTTGCTCACCCTAGAATTACAAAAATATACTTTCATAAATTTATCCTTTAAATTTTTCACATAAAAATTTTTAAAATAATTTCTTTCACTTTTATTACAGTAAAGCCAAGGATGGATTAAAAAAATAAGTGGCGGTGACGAATTTACACTGAGGAGCAGTAATTCCTGCTCTATTCTTCTCCAACCCTGGGTCTGCTCCTCAGAACAAACTCATTTAAAGTGTTTTTGTTTTTGTGTTTTGTTTTGTTTCATTTTTGAAACAGACTCTTGCTCTGTCACCCAGGCTGGAGTGCAATGGCACAACCTTAGCTCACTGCAACCTCCACCTCCCAAGTTCAAGCAAGTCTCATGTCTCAGCCTTCCGAGTAGCTGGGATTACAGACGTGAACCACCATGCCCAGCTAATTTTATTTATTTATTTATTTATTTATTTATTTATTTATTTATTTATTTATTTTTGTAGAGATAGGGTTTCACCTTATTGGCCAGCTGGCCTCGAACTCCTGGCCTCAAGTGATCCGCCTGCCTCAGCCTCCCAAAGTGCTGGGATTACAGACATGAGCCACTGCGCCCGGCCTCCTTTTAGATCTTTTACTTGGTTTTGTTTTGGTTTGTTTTCCAGTAATATAGGTGTTCGGGGTCAGCTTCCTTTGCCCTTCTTCATCCATCACCACCTCCAGTGTCCTGAAATTTACCTTAGAAATCTGTGGTTCACAGGTCATGCTCCTAGACCCATTGAAGGAGGAAGAGGAATTTAACACATCCCATTAGTACATAATCTTGGAAGAGGAGCCTTCTGAATTTTAGAATCAGGATTGGGGAAACCCTGTAAAGTACCTACCTGGTGTTCCTTTCTTCCAGCCTCTTTGATTAAGTCACATCAAGATGCTAATGGCAAAGCTGTTTAATGGGTGTTTCACCAAGGCAGGTTAGGATTTCACTGGGATTCTTAAAATTTGAGGGTGTCTGTGATCATCAAAATTTTTATTCATATAGTCCCTCATGAAATTTCTAAAACTCGGCTGGGTGCAGTGGCTCACGCCTGTAATCCCAGCACTTTGGGAGGCCGAGGCGGACTGATCACGAAGTCAGGAGTTTGAGACCAGCCTGGCCAAAATGGTGAAACCCTATCTTTACTAAAAATACAGAAATTAGCCTGGCGTGGTGGCACACACCTGTAGTCCCAACTACTAGGGAGGCTGAGGCAGAATTGCTTGAACCCAGAAGGCAGAGGTTGCAGTGAGCCAAGATCGCACCACTGCACTCCAGCCTGGGCAGTAGAGCAAGACTCCACCTAAAAAAGAAAAGAAAAGAAATTTCTAAAACTCTGTATTTCTTTGCTCATTTTAAGTTGACATCTATAACTTTCTATTACTTCAAATACCTGGAAAAATTATCACTTCCAGTGCATTGTAATAATGTATCAAGTAGAAGCGGCAAAAATCAGTGAAAACATTTATTTGATCTGAATAAATGTTCAAGAAAATAGAAAGCATGAACTTACCTCTAACCTATGTTCCCTTTACTTGAAAATTTAATGTTGATCTACCAGAGGTAAGGCGGAAATGGTCACGTCCATATTCCTTGCAATTATTCAAAATATGCATCTGAGACCAGAACAAGACACAGGTGAAGAAGGGTGTTCACTAGGCCCCTTCTGCCAATACAGAAGGTGACAGTGCAGTGGAGTCCTTTCATAGCAAGTTCTGCCTGCATGATTTCCAAAGCTTGAGTATTCCAAATCTAAGGTGAATACGGTGATATCCACTAAGCCCTGCCAAAAACTTGTTGCTGAGATGAAGGAAGCCGCCGCTGCAGTCAGTATTTCTCACCCACACACTTTGCTCTCTTTCTGGTTGGTATGGGAAGAATGGTGTCTTTTTTTTTTTTTTTTTGAGACAGAGTCTCAAAAAACTCAGGCTGGATTGTAGTGGTGCTATCTCAGCTCACTGCAACCCCTGACTCTCAGGTTCAAGTGATTCTCCTGCCTCAGCCTCCCGAGTAGCTGGGACTACAGGTGCCCGCCACCATGCCTGGCTAATTTTTATATTTTTAGTAGAGACAGGGTTTCACCATATTGGCCAGGTTGGTCTTGAACTCCTGACCTTGTGATCCACCCACCTCAGCCTTCCAAAGTGCTGGGATGAGGCTCACAGGCGTGAGCCACTGTGCCCGGCTGGCGTCTTTGATGATAGGTAGGTAGTAGAAGACGCAAGTTTATTAAATAAAAGCTGCCGTCATTCCTGCCACCCCACTACAATACATCTATTTCTTTTGTTGTTTTTTTTTGTTTTTTTGTTTCTGGTTTTGTTGTTGTTGTTTGTTTGTTTGTTTTTGTTTTTCTTTTTGACAGAGTCTCACTCTGTCGCCCAGGCTGGAGTGCAAAGGCACAATCTTGGCTCACTGCATCTTCCGCCTCCTAGGTTCAAGTGATTCTCTTGTTTCAGCCTCCTGAGTAGCTGGGATTACAGGCTCCTGCCACCACACCTGGCTAATTTTTGTATTTTTAGTAGAGACGGGGTTTTGTCACGTTGTCCAGGCTGGTCTTGAACTCCTGACCTCAGGGGATCCACCTGCCTCTGCTTCCCAAAGTGCTGGGATTACAGGTGTCAGCCACCATGCCCGGCAATACTTGTATTTCTAATGCCATGTTTCTACTTAATAGTAATATAGACAAGATAGGAAGGACACATTGGCCCGATCCTGGGCTTATATTGTCTTGATTTAAGGAGGCCAAATTGATAAAAGCACCAGTATTTCAAATGGTCCCTTTATTTGACACTCTGAAGTTTTTTTACTTTCTAGAATGTTGTACCACAGTAAGATTCAGGTTGGGTGAGAGGTAAGCCTTTCTTTTTACATGAGGTGAAGGCCAGGATCCTTCTCACTGCAAGTTAAGTTTTAGGAAAGAATACATAGCAAGACTGAAAACCTAAAAATTGATTCTCTTAAAAACTATCAGTGCTGGCCGGGCGCGGTGGCTCAAGCCTGTAATCCCAGCACTTTGGGAGGCCGAGCTGGGCGGATCACGAAGTCAGGAGATCGAGACCATCCTGGCTAACACGGTGAAACCCCGTCTCTACTAAAAAGTACAAAAAACTAGCCGGGCGAGGTGGCGAGCGCCTGTAGTCCCAGCTACTTGGGAGGCTGAGCCAGGAGAATGGCGTAAACCCGGGAGGTGGAGCTTGCAGTGAGCAGAGATCAGGCCACCGCACTCCAGCCTGGGTGACAGAGCGAGACTCCGTCTCAAAAAAAAAAAAAACTATCAGTGCCCACATACCCTGTGAAAATCCCCAACTGTTCTCAGGAATACGAGTACTTCAGTTACAAGAGCTTGCCTCAGCCCAAGTGAATGCATCTTGTGGCAGGGAAGTGCATGCATTGTGGGGTGCCAGTAGTAGTGACGCTTTAGAAGTGGACCTATTTAGAAGTGGAAAATGCCTGTATTCTTCCTCTCTCTTTCTTTAGGATGATTTTCACTCTCCCAACCCAATGGACACCCAGAAGCCTCATGCTTTCATCCTTCCTAGTCATCTTTTTATTTAAAGGGATCTCAGTGTCTTCAGTAACACTGAAAAATACAGGATGGCTAGCAGCTCAAATTGCTATTTTTGCTAGGAAAGTTTGTTTTCTAATGGCCTTAAGTCAATATTCAGACACTTCTATATCATATTCACAATGTTTGTCACATTCATATACCATGTCTACTATCATTTTCTTATTTCTCTCTAAATGTACTCTTCATTCTACATGTTTAATTTAGAGAAAAAACTATTGTATCTCCACCACACTGAATATCCCTGCTGTCTTAGCCTGCATTCTCCAGAAAGCCAAGCTGGAGATAAAGGCTTGAGTGAAGTAATTTATTTGGAAACATTGGTCCAGCAATGCAGGCCTGGGAAGGAGGCACAGCCAGTACAAGGAAGCCTCACAGAGGTGACCACTGTTAGGGGCCACTGGTACTTGATCCCACAGGGACTTTCTGGGGAGCCTCACGCAATGTACGTCAGAACTGTTCACCTGGGAGGCAAAGGAGGAAGCAGTTATCCACCAGCTTCCAACCCTCTTGGTCAAGAGCAACTCCATGGGCATCGACTTCCCTGTATTTCTGGATTGCACATGCTTGAGTGAACTTTCAAAGAATGCCAAGACAGCAGAGAAGCCCTGGGTGAGGACAGAATGGAATCAAAGTGTGGATCCTGCAGGCCCATGCAAGGTGCTCTCAGGTTCCACCTGTGCAAACAAGTACAGTGGTCCAGCATGGGTCAGCTGCTCACTCACAGGGGCTCCAGAATCCTGCGAAGGGGCACACAGGGGTGGGTGGCAAGCTAGTTGGAAATGGGAGTGATGGGCATGACTAAAGTCTTCCTCACCCCACCTGAGATGCACTCAACTGTGGCTAGGGTGACCAGAATTCACTGTCCAGTGTCGCTGGCAAGAGCCCACTCTCTGAAGATGGTGGGATGCAGAGGTGGGAGTACAGTTGAGGGTGATCTTGTGAGTTGAGCACTCTCCCAGAAGTGTCCCCTACATATGAGGTCGACAGCTTATTCCTGCAGGGACTCAGGAGTAACTCTGGGTGCTAAAACAAAACTTGAGACCAGCACAGAAACAGCCAGCCCATGAAGTTCGCCTTCCATCACACAGCAAGGCTAGCGGGATGCCCCTCCCTCTTCTTGGGCATCATTCTTCACTTCCCCTACGCCGCCGGGTGCTCTTCGTGTTTTGTGTTTGTTAGTCTGTGCACGGTGGTGAGGGAGGCTGCTGTGTGATTTGCCCCAGACACAGCCTCTGCAAAAGCAACTGGGAGAAGTCAGCAGCAGAGGGAACTTCCTCTGCTGTCCAATAAAACTGCTGGCGCTAACAAAGTACTTCTGAGTCGATTCAAATCTTCTGTCAAGCAACTGCAGGCTAGAAGGGGAAATGCCACCTCTCTGATGATAGACGACCCACCCAAAGAAAACGGAGCGACTTGTCATTGCTTTATAGACTACAAGAAGAGAACATCTCAGAAGTGGAGTCTCATCTGAAATCAAAGGAGTTAAAGAAAAAGTGGAATTTTTCTTCAGCAAGTAAGTACATTTACTATTATCTTACTGTGGGATAGCTTGGTAGAACTAGTTACCAGCAACCTCACTGCTTTTTTTTTTTTTTTTTTGAGACGGAGTCTCGCTCTGTCGCCCGGGCTGGAGTGCAGTGGCCGGATCTCAGCTCACTGCAAGCTCCGCCTCCCGGGTTCACGCCATTCTCCGGCCTCAGCCTCCCGAGTAGCTGGGACTACAGGCGCCCGCCATCTCGCCCGGCTATTTTTTGTATTTCTTAGTAGAGACGGGGTTTCACCGTGTTCGCCAGGATGGTCTCGATCTCCTGGCCTCGTGATCCGTCCATCTCGGCCTCCCAAAGTGCTGGGATTACAGGCTTGAGCCACCGCGCCCGGCCACCTCACTGCTTTTTAAGCAAACACACCGCCACTACCACCTCCTGGATCCATGCTTGCCCTCAAAGGAAACTTCAGGGTCTCATTCCCACAGGAGGCTGTGGCTTCCCAACACATTTGGAGCATCATAGTCAGAATTGTGGCCCTTTATTTTAAAATGTCCTAGATGCTAGCAAATATTATTTTTGTGGGCTGTATTTGAATTTCTCAAGCCAGTAAAATTCTAGTGAAAGTCGGAAAATCGCTCGAGCTCGGGAGGTTGAGACTGTGGTGAGCTATGGTCACGCCACTGCACTCTAGCCTGTGCGACAGAGTAAGATTCTATCTTAAGAAAAACAAATTCTGGTGAATAAGTCTCTTTTAGCTAATCCTGCCTAAAATGCATGATGGCTAACAAAACAATATGGCGTGACGAACTCTAGCTTCAGCGTGGTCTCCAAAGAGGACACTCAAGTATTCTCTGAACAGCATGGGGCTGTGTCCTAGTAGCAGCCTGAAGGCGTGACAGTGGAGCACAGTGTTCATTTTCATTTCTCAATTTTGACATATTTACTGGAAAAATTAAACCCTAGCCGTCTCACATGAGATCACATAATTTTTTTTTTTTCTCTGTCACCCAGGCTGGAGTGCAGTGGTGCAATCTTGGCTCACTGTAGCCTCCACCTCCTGGGTTCAAGCAATTCTTGTGCCTCAGCCTCCCAAGTGGCTGGGATTACAGGCACCCACTACCGCACCTGGCTAATTTTTGTATTTTTGGTTGAAATGGGGTTTTGCCACATTGGCCAGGCTGGTCTGGAACTCCTGACCTCAAGTGATCCACCCACCTCAGCCTCCCAAAGTGCTGGGATTACAGGCATGAGCCACCACGCCTGGCCCTGGAGTACATAATTTTAATAAGTAACGTGTGCAGTGTCTTTTTTCCCTCCCTTTTTATGGATAGACTTTTCTGGTTATTGAGATCTCATACCCCTTTATGATATGTTATTTGAGCAGTGGGTTTAAAGAATTGAGATACCTGTTTTCTTATGTTAATATGTCAAGAAAGAAGTTATTTCATAACTTAGGTCCTGCCTTGGACAAAATACACCCTTACTGTCTGCTCTGTGTTTCTTGGTATGTTCAGAAGAGAATTTGAACTTTTGGAGGCTGGCTAGCAGATATGGAGGGTCCTTAGAGCTCTCTGTGTTTCTAACCAAATCTTAATCCCGCCTATTAAGTAGAAAGCCTTTACATGGAAGGGCTGTGGTTGGTTCTTGGAACTGGTCCCTTCACAGAATTTCAACTTTCTTTCCCTCAGGGTCATGCCCTGCTTTAGCGGTTGCTTAGGTTAAACTCTCTAACTAATTTTAGCAGGCAACTCTGGAGTTTTACAACTCACAGTAGGCACACCTTCCTTCCTGGATGACTTTTATTTGTTCCTTTTTCAGGTTGTGAAACTAAATCCACAACCTTTGGAGACCCAGGAACACCCTCCAATCTCTGTGTGCTTTGTAAACATCACTGGAGAATCCTCTGGGCTGGCAATTGGATTGTCACCACCCTGCCTGTTTTGTGCCTGGGAAGTGCCCTGGTCTTGCTTGGCTCCAAATTGTTGGCTTTCACTTTTGACCCGAAGCATCTGAAGTCATGGGCCACACATGGAGGCAGGGAATATCACCATCCAAGTGTCCATACCTCAAGTTCTTTCAGCTCTTGGTGCTGGCTTGTCTTTCTCATTTCTGTTCAGGTAAGCAACTTTCAGGAACTTAACGGAGTCAACTGCTACAGGGTTAAGAGAAAGGAGGTGGGGTTCTCTGAGCTGCTCCCTTCTATTATCCTATCAGCTGGAAGGAACCTTCAGGGTGTTTTCAGAACATTTTAAAGATGAGAAGACTGTGGTTCAAAGAGGTTAAAGGACATTCCTATCATCACACAGCAAGTTAGCAACCAAGTTAACTCAAGAACGTACAAGGAAGCATGGAAGGGACGGTGTTATTTTAATAAAACCATAGAGCCGATTCATAATGGTCTCTTTCATTAGATGAGTATTAGATGCTCATGTACATTTTGTGATGTGCTAATACCAGCCTCAGAGTCCATTCCCAAACTATATTTTCATGATACAGCTCAGTGAAAGTGTCCTGCTTCTAAAGTTGAACAATGGTGATCTTCTTTCCAATTTGAAGGCGGGAGAGTAGTTGAGGACAATTCCTCTTAATGACGTTAATCTTCTTAACCTTCTTAAGTTCCTCTTAATACATTAATCTTATTTGTTCTGTTTTGGATGCTGAGATCTTTTTTCAACATTGGCATCTGACTTTAAGTGGTATCAGATTTAACATAAAATTATATTTTTAGTTGTTTCTAATCTGCCACAGAAGTATTACATATATGTCCTGAAAGTAATAATTTGACTTCTAGAGGCTTTTGTTCCTGCTCAGGTGATCTTAAGAGTGCTGAACTTTTGGGACTGTCAAGAAGGGTGAGGCTTGTCCCTGCTGGCAGGATAGTTCTGATTTTTTTTTTTTTAAGTCAGAAAACAAAAGATCTGTTTTCTAGTGAGCAGCATACCTCCTGGTTTCCCACAAATCAAGAAGTTTGGGCTCCAGCATGATTTGCCAGTCTGCAAAGACCTGACTATTAAGGGTTCTTGTCTTAAAAACTTCTCACGTAAAGTACTGCCTAGAATATCAGAGGTGTGAGAGAGAGGTAGAGCGAAGGGAAGAGGAGTTGGGGGCACACAGATTACTTGACTGCAATGGTGGTCATTTAAAATTTTCTCTCCAGAGCTATTTTGCATTGTTTTCAGGACCAAGAGAACCATGGCTTACATTTCACAATTTACACCTCAGATTTTGTATATATTTGACAGTTACATTACATTTCCAACAGTTACAATTTCCTTCTGGGGAGCTGGGGAAGCATTCCCAAACTAGTCTTCTGGGGAGTACAGAGGAGTTTAAAATATTTAGAAGGAAATTTGTACAGGCTTCCCAGAAATAAGGGAGGTGGGAAGGGAGAGAGAATAGAAAGAGGGAGAACGATAAAAAAGTAAAAGAAGACATAAAATAAAAATTAAAACCCAAACTTTAGAAACTGTACCAGGAAAATTAGAGTCAGAGTTAAATGGAAAGAGATCTTTGAGCTAAAGAAAGATGTTTAGGAAAGCACCTTGTTCTCCAGCTATATCCTGATTTTACTGCTGCTGTGACTAAGTCAATGAACCACCTACTGTGTGCCAGGTGGGCCATAAAGTTGAGGCTAGGATTTCTGCACTCAAAGAGGTCTGCATATGTTAGTTGGGGGAATGCAAAGCTAACCCATGTAAAACAAGCAAAGAGCAATGAAATGCTTTGCCCTGATTGTAGGAGCCCAAGATCTGGGAAAGAGGGTACCAGACTGGGCTGCAGCAAGGAGGGCAGGCTTTACAGAGGCAGATGGATGATGGAGAGAAAATTCTGGTCAGGGCAACAGCCTGGACAAAGGCACAAAGGTAAGGATGAGGCTGGCACAGGTGTTCATTCTTTTGTTTAATCATTTATTAATTCAACAAACATCATCTACAAGCAAGAGACTTTTCTTGGTCCTGGGGACATGGCTCGGGCGTTTGTGAAATTTACTATCATTGGGAAGAGGGAAAGTAATCCAATAGCCACTCAAATGAATGTGTTTGTTTGTTGGCCAACAAACAAAGCCAAGTGCTTTGAAGGCAGGGCATAGGCACTGCCTGAGAAAGTGCTGTCTTCCCCTGCCAGTGAGGAGTGGCAGTGAGCTATGGGAGGAGTAGAGGAGGGACTGGCCCAGTGAGCAAAACCAGACCCTGCAGCACTTGTGGGCTATAGTCACGAATCCGCATGTTATTCAGGAGGCTGGAAGGGCTTTACCCAGGGTAGTGGCGTGGTCTACCCCAGCTCTGTTCACATTTGACACATACCCGTAACCGGGGGGTTTTGCTAAATTGCAGTCTCTAGCACAGGGAATTTTTTAGAGAAGTGAATCTATTTTGCATAATGCTGTAATGATAGATATAAGTTATTATAAATTTGTCCAAATCCATAGAATATGCAATACCAGGAGTGATCCCTATCGTGAACTCTGGATTGGGGCGCTAATGATGTGTTAATGTAGGTTCATTGATTTTAACAAGTGGACTGATCTGGCGCCGGATGTAGACAGTGGTGGAAGCTGTGAATATGTGGGGAGGGAGTATATGGAAATCCTCTGCACTTTACACTCAATTTTTCGATGAATCTAAAGCAGCTCTAAAAGATAAAGTCTACCTAGTTTTTTAAATGCTGTTTCCACTTAGGTGGGTCTGGGATGGGCCTGAGATTCTGCATTTCTAAGAAGCACCTAGGTGATGCTGATGCTGCTTCGCATACACTTTGAGTTTCAGTAGTAAAGGTGTAAATAACTTCAAAAAGGAAAAAGTGTTACTGAAGAAGGGCTTGTAGGGCAGCCCCCATGACTGCAAAACCTATTAGGAGGTTATTTCCTTACTTACAGTAACTGATGATGTGTTTGATGAAAAGAATTGAGTCAGAGGGAAGTTGATGGAGAGTGTGTACCATGTAAAATTAGTGAGGACTGCCCAACGGGAGTGTAGGTGTGAGTTGTGCATGGTCTGTGGGAGGCGAGATTGAGTGAATAAAGTGGAGTAGGATTATAGAGGGCTTTATTCAGGGCAGAGATGTACCACACTAGGTCTTCCTCTTCTGCCCTGGGTCAAGAAGCTATACTATGGCAAAGGTGTTCCCCCTCTCCTCCTGCCCAGTCACTGATGCCCAGGGGAAGGGACCCCTCTTTCATGCACAGGGTGGAACCAGCCAGGCTCCTCTCCCACTCTAGGTCGGCAGGCACTGTCTATGGGGCAGAAACGCCTGACTTTGTACTCCGGCAAAGTACAGTAAGTACTTTGTAAGTAAGTAAGTGGCAGTAAGGCAGAGGCTCTACCAGGGCAGCCCTCAGAAGGACCAATGTGGGCAGCTTTTCTTTCAGAGCCAGAGTCCTTTAAGAGAGGGTCAGGTCTAAGGAGGGGGGAAAGGCCTCCTGCAGGAGGAGGCAAGAGATGCAGGAAAAGCATTGCCTGTAAGTTTATAGTCTGAGAACTCAGAGCTAGGAGAAAAGAGAATGCCCCAAAGTGCCACCATTCACAGAACACATCCTCCTCTCCCCGCAACACATACCGCTATGCTGCTGGCCCAGGGGTCCCATGAGCAGTGATTGTTCCCATCATCACCCTGACAACCATTGTTCAAGTCCCTGAGCATTTTAAGGATATAAATACTGTGTAGAAAGAGAAAAAGTAAGGATCAGATGGTACAGAGTATATGAGCGGGGTCTAAACAGGGGGAAAAGTCAGGAACAGTGTGAACACCAGGAGACACAGGTCTCAAGCCTGCGGCCGCCAGAGGCAGCTCTTCCTGTCTCCTTTGTGTGGCTAGCACCTAGCCCAGGGCTGACACCAACCCTGTCGGTGCTAGTTCACCTAATCAAACATTTAGAGGGGTCCAAGACGGTCACTCCTGTTGGAAGGGTGTGCACAAACCAGGAACAGTAAAATCTCCAGGTGGTGAGACAATAGGTGACTTTCACGCTTTTCTATATCTTCCATTCTTTCTAAGAATGTTTATTTTATAGTCAGAGAAAATGTTTATTTAAAAAGCACACTTGTGTTTACAGGGAGATCATGTATGCCCTGTCATTTGGTAAGTTTTAAGATGTTGTGTCAACTGCTTCTCTCCCTTCTCCACCAGCAGTGGCAATGCAGCTCCCAGATCCCTGCCAGGGCAGCCTCTCTAACGACTGCTGAGGTTGAACTCCCTGGGAGGGGCACTGCAGACTGGCCATTGCATCCTCCAGGCCTCCAGGCTCTATGGAGAGGGTGGGGAAGACTCAGGTCTTCCTAGTATGGATTCTTTTTTTCCCTTCATGTTTTATTTGCGCTGACATAAAATTCAACATTTTAAAGTATACAATTCAGCCAGGCACGGTGGCTCACTCCTGTAATCCCAGCACTTTGGGAGGCCGAGGTGGGTGGATCATCTAAGGCCAGGAGTTCGACACCTGCCTGGCCAACATGGTAAACCCTGTCTCTACTAAAAATGCAAAAATTAACCACGCAAGGTGGCCCGTGCCTTTAATCCCAGCTATTCGGGAGGCTGAAGCAGGAGGATCTTTTGAACCCGGGAGGTGGGGGTTGCTGTGAGCCAAGATCACGCCACTGAACTCCAGCCTGGGCAACACAGCGAGACTCTGCCTCAGTAAATAAATAAACAAACAAACAAACAAACAAAGTGTACAATTCCGTGGGTTTTAGTATATTCGCAATGTTGTGAACCCACCATCACTATCGAATTCCAGAACATTTCCATCATCCCAGAAATAAACCTGCGCCTATTTGCAGCTACTCCTCATTCCCCTGTACCCCACCTCCTTGCAACTACTAATTTACTCTCTGTCTCTATGAATTTGCCTGTTCTGGACATTTCTTTTCTCTTCTTTTTTTCCAGAATCTAGGTAAGAAAGAATACTCTGGACATTTCTTACAATATGTGGCCTTTTGTGTCCATCTTTCACTGAGCGTTATGTCTTTCAGGTTCATCCATGTTGCATATGTCTTAGTACTCCATTCGCTTTTACGGCCAAATAATATTCTGAAATAATATTCTGTTGTAGATTGAGACCTATTTTTTCTTTTTGTAGCGATGGGGTTTTTGCTATGTTGCCCAGGCTGGTCTCGAACTC